GGAGTGTGCGCAGCCGACTATGCAGGGAGCCATTGGTGAGAGGAGGGAGGAGAGGGCAGAGGGTGTGTAGCCCACTATGCGGGGAGCCATTGGTGAGGAGAGGGAGGAGAGGGCAGAGGGTGTGTAGCCGACTATGCAGGGAGCCATTGGCGAGGGGAGGGAGGAGAGCCCATCACACTTTAGATCTGAGAGCTGCAAACTTCTCAGGGTCTAAATGGTGAATGTCAGGGATGGCAATGAGCCGCAGCGGGGAAATAGCTGTTTCCAGGGGAAAGGAGCCAGCCTGGGCCATGGCAGCCTCTACTTCCAGCCTGCGGCGACCGGGCCACCAGTACCGGCTTCAGAAAGCAGGGCCCGCGCTGCCACACGGTGTGGAGCCATCAGGAGGCCTGGGCCCAGATCCCGGCCGACCTGACCGTGCCAGGCGCTGAGCGCTGAGCCCGGCCGGCGGAAGGCTGGGGAAGAGTCCTGTCCAGGATACTCGTCTCCCTTTATGGAAGAAATTCATTAAAATCAATGTTTTTAAAAAGAAGCACGATAAAGACATGGCCAGAGGTCTGTTTAATGCCCGATTACGGCAACACACGAAGGCTTACACAGTGCTCCCAGCATGGCCCTCAGCGGCAGGACCGGGGGAAACCAGGCTGGAGGTCAGCAGGGACGAACCCCAGCACAGGGACCGGGTTCCCTGGCCAAAGTGCCCCATGCAAGGCTTCATCTCACCCAGAGCCAGTGGGCTGGCCGGCCTGCAGCCACTGAGGGTCCTCCTGAGAGAACGAGGTCCCGGGATGGGGTGGGGACCTCAGGATACGATACGACGACAAAAATCACAAAGCTGCTTCCACACAAGCCACAAAGGCTTTCACTCGAAGGTGCGACAGCCACGCGACACCCGAAGCGTGGAGCACCCGATTCTCTGCTAAAACGCTGCGGAATGGAAGCTGCAAACGCTGGGAGGGAAAACCAGTCCAAACCAGCCAAAGCCAGTGTGACGACCGTCCCTGTCCCTTCCCCACAGCCACACTAACCACCCACATTACAGAGAAGGGACCCCACTCTGGTCTGTCATCTTAACACCTTTAACAGAAAGGGACTTGGGAGCGCGTCCCTGGCTTTAAGAAATCTCTTTCAATCTCCAAGTCTACTGAACACTTTAATGCTACCAGGTTCCCCGGGGCCTCCCCACCCTTTTCATCCCTAGTGCCAGGGTCTCGATATTGCCCAGACTGGCCTTGGGCTTGCTCCTCTGTCCCAGCCTCCTGCGTAGCCGGGATTACAGGCCCACACCACTGCATCCTCCCCACCACCTCTGCCTTCTCGGTCCCTGGGGACAAGGGTGACTCAGGGACTGCTGGTGGGCTGGGAAATTTCCTGGCAGAGATCATTTGGCTCAAAAAGAAACTTTCCCCCTCTCTCCTTAAAGTTTACCTGTCCCCAAGGGAAATACCAGTCTAAATGGCGTCCTTAAAGCACTCTGGAGCTGAGAGGTTCAAGGTGTCACTGGTAAGAGGCAGCGGCTTGCTTCTGCACCAAGCCTGAGGTTCAGTGTGAGAGGCCAGCCTTGGCCAAGCAGGGTGTGGAGGGGTTAGCGCAGGGACCAAGGCAGCTTCTGGGGAGCCAGTGGGCTAAGTGGCCCTGTGGCTGAGCACCTGAGGAGAGAGTGTGAGCCCTGCAGCCTTCCTTTCCCTGCTCTTTGATTTAATCCTAGCAGAAAGTTTCAGGCGGAGTCCAAGGCACAGAAGCCAAACATCTCTGTCCTCAGAGATGGTACGCAGCTGTGTGGTGGCACAGCAAGGCCTTGGGGCCACAGCATCTACAGCCCCTTGGCCCTAGCCAGATCCTCTGCAGCACCCCTGTCCCCACCCCGGGCGTGCTTGGCTTGTCTGGGTTTCAATGAGCCCCTGAGTACCTGGGGAGGATGGGCTGGGGCACTTTGTAAAGTACCCCTACGTAGCCCTGTTTATACAGAGGGGGTGCCTATACCTGCCGGGGGCGGGGGTAACTTGGGGACCCAAGAAATTGAGCAAATGACAAGGCACGACTGTCCCCAGCTGGGCATTAGCTGGGCCCCAACTCCAGATAAGCCCACCTCCCACACTAGATTCCAGGCAACTCGCTTAGGAGCACCCCGGTGAGGCCGACTTCACGTTTCAAACTTAATGCTGCAAACTAAGAAAAAGTGCTGTCTAGCTGAGCTCCTAGGAAACCTAGCTCCCGGGGGCTGCAGGCCTTCAGACCTCCACTCTGCTGCCTCTCTCCAGAGGCACACAGGCCTGGGCCAGCCCACACCACCCCCACTCCAGGCTGGGTGGGGACAGCTCTGACCCCCGCCGGGCTGCAGGGACAGTGGGGTCTGTCTGGATCCTGAAGAGGTAGCATGGCCCATTCCCCCACAGCTGCCAAGGCCAGGTCCGCAGGGGAGGCTCCTCCCTGTCACCCCTC